GCTGAAAAAGAACGCGACGAAGCTCGTGACGAGATCCGGCGACTCCGCATTGCAAAGACTCAGGCTGAGGAGGCACGTTTGAACGCAGAAGAAGCAGCTGATCGTCAAGCAACACGCGTAGCACGAGAGCGAGAAGCTAGGTTGCAAAAAGACCTGGATGCAACAGAGGAGCGCCTCAAGTGGTACGAGGAGGAATGTGAGAAGCTCAATCGCCAGGTAGACGACATGAACAAGTTCATGATCGAATCGGGCGAGTATGGGCTGAAGAATGACCAAGCCAAAGAACGTCTGGAAAGAGAACTCGTCACTGTGAAGGGCCGCCTAGTTGCCTCCGAGAACGACAATCGTACCTTGCTCAACAAGTTGCAACAGAAAGGACTCGAGATTGCTCGTTCTGCTGCTAAAGCTACGGAAGCTTCAAGAGGACAGATAATTACTCTTCAGCGCGAGAAGGCTAGAGTTGAAGAATTGAACTCGAAGCTCAATAAACAACTCGGTGACACCTCATTAACTGTTGCCGGCTTGGAAAAGAAAGTTGAGAAATTGCAGCTCAACGTAGAAGATTTAAATCATGAGGTTGCTCGTGAAGTGCAGTCTAATCGTAACGCAGAGAAAGCATCCTCAACTTTCACAGTACAACTAGCAGAGGCCAACAGGACTATTGAATCTGAACGCCACCTAAGGACCCAAGCTCAATCAACAGCTCGCACAATGCAGGCCACGCTCGACTCCCGCGCCAAAGAGATCGATGAGCTTCGTGCTCAAATGCTCAGAGTGTTGAAGGCTGTAGATCCAGAAATACCTATTCCAGCTCCCGCTGATCAATCCCATGATAAGATCATGAGTAAGAACTTTGAGATGATTAGGAAGATTGAGGAGTTGCAACAAAACTTGCGGGTTCAAACTACTGCTCGGGCTAATGCGGAAGCACAGCTAGCAGAAGCACGCAACAGCCGTGGGGAGTCTCCTGTTCGGCCCAAGTTGGAAGAGATGCACCCTAATGAGGCTCCTTTCAATGGCTCGCCAACACAGAGGCGCACTAAGCTTCATGCTAGGCACTATTCAAATACATCCACGCCAACGCGTCAAATCAGGAACGAGAATGACATAATTCCCGACTCTGGTAGATCTGACCGGACCGCCGATATTCTCAGTTTCAATAACCGCCAGGATCTGAAGACAGAGGTCGAAGAGTTGCAAAACCAGCTCCAGCTCACCCAGATGCAAAACCGGCATCTCCAGAGCCAGCTTGAGCGCTCCAGCACCCCACGAGAACTCAACGCAAGCGATAGCCCTTCTCTTCGCCGCATGCAAAAACTAGAAAAAGCGAACGGTCGGTTGCATGATATGCTCGATGATTCGGCGAAGAAAGTGTCCTATCTAGAGAAATCGATACGAAGTGGCGAGATTTCTCTGCGTGATATTCAAACTAAATCTCATGAGGAGCTCTTGGAGCTATTCAACAGCCAGGAAGACTCTCGGAGGTCTCTTCTACATAGTCATAATGATGCTATCGCCGAGCTTACGGATGTGAAAGAGCACTTTGAGAAGATGCGACATGATCGTGCGAGTGTCGAGGTTGAACTTCGGGATATGAGGTCGGACTTGCAAGAGATGACTGCTGCTAGAGAGCAAGAAGCCGCCAGTCGAAGCCAACTCTTACAAGAATACGCTGACCTGCAAATCCGGCTAGATGCAGAGATTTCCAAGCTGGGAGATGTTTCCTCAAGTCTTGAAATATACAAGAGCCGCGCCGACGAGTATTTCAGTAAATTAGAACAGGCTGAAATCGCCGTCTTGAAAGCAAACCGAGCCGAGCAATTCGCCAAGGCTCAAGCGAAGGAGGCAGAGGATGCTTATGCCGAAATCATGTCTCAGCGAAATAAATCACATGGCAGCATGGAAGACCTCCAGCGACAAAACCAGCGACTCGAAGAAAAGATCGAAGACATCTCCACAGACCTTGAAGCTGCCGTGCAAGCCAAGAAGCGACTCCAACACGAACTTGAAGACTATAGGAGTCAAAGAGCTATTGATCTTGAAGACAAAGAGTTAAGCATGGAACAGACCCGGAAGAAGTACCAGGCTGAGTTTGCCGGCTTAACCAAGGAATTAGACTTAGCACGCGAGGAGAAGCTGCATAAGCAGACCGAGATAACTCGACTACGGGAAGAGCTTGAGGATCTACGATCCAAATGGGATGATGAAGTTCTCAACAGCTCAACTTGGTCGAAGGAGAAGTCAAGGCTCGAAAGCACGCTCGCTGATGTTATGGCGTCTCGTGATGAAGCTGTCAGCGCCCACAACGAGGCACAAGGTAAGGTGGTATCACTTCTATCACAAGTGAGAAACTTGCGAACATCGGTCGATGACATGACGGCGGAACGTGACGCGCTCATCCGGGAAAAGCGCAACATTGAGACTAGACTAGAGGAAGCTAAAGCCGGCCTCGATGATCTTTCAAAGAGTGAAAGCCCGGCTCTGCGAAACGCTGCCAGTACCGACAAGGAAATCCTAGATCTCAAGTCTAGCCTAGCTCAGCAAGAAGACATTGCAGCTGCGGCCGTCGAGAAGATGCGGCGGGCCGAATCTCTGACAACCGAGATGCAAAAGGAGATTACGGCCGAGCGTGAAGTCAATTCTGAGCTCTCTAAGCAGAAAGCAGCATTGGAAAAGAGTCTCAGTGAAGTGCAGGTTCGACTAGTCGACCTAGAGACCAAGGGCTATACTACCGGCAGCCAGGATATCAAATTTCTCCACAAGCGCATTCAGGAGGTTAGTATAGCTCCAAACCCCTACCCCCAGGACCAAAGAAAAGAAGAGGTAGCCCAAGACCCTTCAACAAGACCTCTTTCATCTCTACTCCGCAAACTTACAAGAGGCCGCGCTAACATTCTTGCTCTCTAACAGCTTGAGACCCAGCTTGAAACTCAAGAGGACGAGCGGTCCAAGTCCCAGCGATCAGTGCGCAACGTTGACCGTGTCGTGAAAGACCTACAGTCACAGATCGAACGCAAGGATAAGCAGGCCACGCAACTCAACGACGATGTTTCCAGATTAAGAGACAGAGTCGAGAAGCTCCTCAAAACTATCGACGAGCTCCAGGCCAGCGAGAGCACAAATCAATTAGCTGCTCGACGCGCGGAGCGCGAATTACGTCAGGAGAAGGAGAAGGCGTTGCGCCTCGAGCGAGAACTCGAAGGATGGAAACACCTGCGCATGGAAAAGGGGAGTACCGTCAATGGTGGCACCGTGAGATTTGGTACGCCGGCTCTAGAGGGCGGGAGAAGAGTCAGTTCGATAAGGGCCGGACTGGATAGTGATGATGCTGCTAGTATTGCTGGAACCGGGATCGAAGTACCCAAGAGGAAAAGCAGTATTGGACGCACCCCGAGCTTGACGAAGGGCTTTTTGTAGGGTGCATGTATATGTAAGGGAGAAGGGGAGGGCTGGGGAGGGAGTAGCATTAAATGGCTTGGTTTGGGTTGGGTTGGTATATTCATGGCGGGATGGGGCGGCGTATTGAATTATATGCATTTTATGATTTAGGAAGGGATAAGGGACCTGAGTGAAGTTGTTTGCTTGCCAAGTTATGTGTAATAAGCATGTGCGATTGCAATGGATTGCTTCATGATGGTATTGGGATAGTATTGATACAGCAACACAGCGTAAAATACCAACTTTTCTACTCGGGCACAACCCTGTCTGGTGTCGAGGCGCTATCCTTCGTTGGTGGTCACATATTAATCAAAAACGCTAATTCACACCCCAAGATTGAGTCTACGAAAAGAACAAAGTGTTTGAACATCAAGCTCTGCTTTATTTAGTTTTTGTCATCTAGTACGCGCAAATGGGGTATTAACTATTACTACAGGTTATCCTCCTCTCCTCTCTTCTTGCATATGTCCAATTCTAGTCCAGGTAAATGAGGCAACTTCCTCATATCCCAACTAACTTTACAAGAAACCCCGTTTCTCTGCCCGCCTCGACCGATACCCGGGTATATGCCAAAAATATGCAAGATTGTAAAATATCATTCGTAAGGATCGTAAGAATTAGACAATGTGTACTTTTTTGTGCCGATGGTAAACCCGAACCCTCGATCACGTTTTATCTTGTACAAGAATGCTTTTGGAAAAAGGAAATATCGCTGGCGAGATCTTATCGCCAACTAGTAATACCCTTCTTATAAAGCGGCGACAGCCATTACGACCATACCAAGGAAGCCCAGGCCTGCACCTGCACGCGAAGCACCTGCCGTTTGGATCGGAGAGGTTGTGGCGGGTGTGCCAACGGGAACACTGCCAGCTGAAGCGGAGGTGGTGAAAGTAGTAACACCAGCGGAACCAGTGGGGTAGGGCACTGATACACCCGAAGTAGGGGCAGGAGTGGCAACAGGGTAGGTACCAGGAACAACAGCGACGGAGCTAGACGCGGCACCAGATGAAGCCGGGTACGTCGTGAAGATGACCTGAGGAACAGTCATGGCAGTGCTAATGGTGACGGTGCTGCTGGAGCTTGGGATGACCTCTCCAACCTCGTCGGTGCAAGGAACCACAGTGGTAGCAATGACCGAGATGGTGGTAACAGAAGCAATGGATGTAGGAGTGACAGTCAACACGGTGGTGATGGTCTCAGCACCGGTGGCAATGCCGGGGTTGGATGGCACGAAAGGAGCGCAGATACCCTGGAAGTAGCTCACAGCCTCAGAGATGACCTCATCAGATTCACCATGGGCGTAAAGGCAAGCGAAGACATTGTCAACGAACTCGCTGTCAGGACAGTAGCAAGCAGAGTCAGTGTTGTCCTTGCAGCCAACATTGAACATCCATGTGTTCAAGCACGATGGGACAACACTAGGGCAAGGTAGGGTCTCAACAGGGCCAGCAGGAGTGCTGGAGGTCTCAGAGGCTGGGGAAGTAGAGGATGCGCCAACTGGAGTTGAAGCAACTGGCGTCGAGACAGGGTACGAAGCAGGAGATGATCCAGTCTCAACAGGGGTCTCAACGGGCTTGCTGATGGTCTCGGTGACTGGGCAAACAGTGGTGGAGACTGGGATAGTCACAGTGGTGACCGCAGTAGAACCAGCAGGGCAGTTGGGGACTTCAGGGCCGCAGCTGGTAATGGTCTGAACGGAGGTGGTGAAGACTGTTGAAGTGGTGATGTAGCTGGTTACCGAGTAGCTGGGTGTCTCAGCAGGGGTAGACACAGCGGCTGTCGAGCTGCTACCGATAGGAGTAGACTCAGCTGGAGTAGACTCAGCGGGTGTAGATTCGGCAGGGGTTGATTCGGCAGGAGTCGACTCAGCCGGAGTAGAAACTGGGGTACTCTCCGCAGGGGTAGACTCAGCAGGAGTGGATTCAGCAGGCGTAGACTCCGCGGGCGTGCTGGCAGGTGTGCTGACTGAGTAGCCGGGTGTCTCAGCAGGAGTGGACTCGGCCGGCGTGGACTCAGCAGGAGTGCTCTCGGCAGGAGTAGATTCAGCTGGGGTAGACTCTGCAGGCGTTGACTCGGCAGGGGTGCTCTCAGCAGGAGTTGACTCAGCGGGGGTAGACTCAACGGGTGTTGTGCTAGGAGTGTAAACAGGGTAGGAACCCGGGACAGTGGAGGTGGGAGGAGTCACTTGAGGGGTAGATTCAGCGGGAGTGCTTTCGGCGGGCGTAGACTCGGCCGGTGTGCTCTCTGCAGGAGTTGACTCGGCAGGGGTGGATTCGGCGGGAGTAGACTCAACAGGAGTGCTGACTGAGTAACCAGGAGTCTCGACGGGAGTGGACTCAGCAGGAGTAGACTCAACGGGAGTGCTAACTGAGTAACCGGGTGTCTCGACAGGAGTAGATTCTGCCGGAGTGCTGGCCGGGGTGCTGACGGAGTAGGTGGGAGTGTACACAGGGTAACTGTGGTGCTTGCTGGTGGTGGGCTTGGGTCCCTCGCAGTCAAAGCCGATGTGGTGAATACCGTAGTTGCAGTGGTCCTTGCCCTTCTCAGGCTGGTGAGGGTAGACAATGGTGACATCTGTAGCACCACCGCACTGGGTGTTGTGAACCGTGGTACCAGAAGACTTGCAATGGTTGCGGTGCTTGCAGTTTGATCCATCAGGCATGGTGTAGTGGAACTCTAGGTCGCAGTCGAATTCCGGTGTGACCTGGAACCACTTGATGGACGTCTTATCAACGCCCTTGCTCTTATCACAGCTGATCTTGGCGCTGTTGTCTCTGTCCTGAGTGGCCTTGCCGGTGATGCATTTCGACTGGAAGGTTCGTCCAGTGATTGTGTCCCGCTTACCAAACTTCTGAGAGCATTCGTAGCCCTTGTAGTTGAATCCCTTGTAACTACCGAAGCCACCAAAAGGAAGGTCTGACCAGTCGAAACCACCGTTCATGTCCGGGGTACAATGGTTGTCCTGGTTGTCTGGGCAGCTAAATGAAGGAGCATTGTGAAAGCCCTGTTGATATTAGCCTCTGCAGTTGGGAGGCAAGACGTTGGAAATACTTACAAAAGCAGCCACTTGGCTGATGCCAGCAGCCAGGGCGACGAGGGCAAAGTTCCCCTTCATGTTGTATGAATGTGAGTTGATGTTGTTTAAAAACTGTTTGTGTTCGGTCCCGTATGGGAATTGTTGGAGCGAGTGTATGTCTCTTATATCAAGCAGAAGCGACTGTTTTAAAGAAATAAAGCGAGAGCTGGGCAAAAACGAATGATGCCAACTTGCAGAGAGAAAAAGGAAAAGGAAAAAAAAGGTCGATTACACCCTCAAGGAAACGGGGGGTTCACGGTAAGAGCAAGTGCCTTGGGAAAGATGAGGATACAACGTTCAATGCCACGATGGGAACAGAGACATATATAGAATCTCAAGCTGGTTGAACGGGAGCCTCTCGTCTGGCCACAACCGGGCTGCAGATGGGACCACGAGAGAGACCCTGCACATACAGACCAGGGTTGAGAACCGCTGTTTCTCAAGGACAGCATCCATGTCGACCCCTTGGGCTCTTTTTCCTTGTTCCATGGAGTGGCACCGGGGGGTAGGTAGGTACCTGACCTACCTACGTACTTCGTAGGTAGATTCATGGACCAGACAGACATGGTTCTTCGTGAGCGGTATGGAGGCTACAGTGTATGTCTGAGCGGATGTAGTGTAAGGTACCGACCGACCGACCCTCGACCTATACACAGCATATGCCATATGCTATGCTGTGTACATACACCTACACGTACATATAGTACAAGTTCACACACATATGTGCATACCCGTACATACTGTACGTTGCATAGACATTATGCGGCCTCACTGGGTGGACGGCATCAAAGACACTTGTCGCGCCAAGGGCGAGAGCAGCACCGGTAGTCGAGGGAGAGGGCGCGACTGGCTGAGATGGGTCGACGGTCGACGGTAGAGCGGGGCCAAGCAGAGCGCGCGGCTCGGGCGTCGATGTCTTGACTACGGAGGGGCGGTTTTGTGGTGTCGACGTTGTATTTTCAGGGGTACCAGAGCCTGGCGGTCAGATCACGACTGGCAATGAATGGGATTGGATGAGATGGGATGGGATGGGGGCGTCTGTCGAGATGGATGAGATGGATTGGATGGATTGAACGGAGGTTGAACTGGGGGGGAGGGCCTGGTCAGGGAGGGGAACAGGGAGCAGGGATAACTGGTAGTGGACCCCTAGGTACTGACCTACACGCTAGCTATACTGAGCAGTTATGCCCTAGGAGCGCTACAAGCTATCCACTTACAGCGACTTTTGTAGAGGGCCGTCCACCAATAGGAGGTTCTTCAGCCAGGCAGTAGCAGCGCTCACTCTGTGCTCTAGCGATTGGGTCCTGTTGCACAGCACCGAATGCCAGCATGCGTTCTCTCTGTCTCGCCCCGTTCAACGTTCAACGGCACAACACGATGCTGCTGCTGCACCTTTGCCGCTCACACAGGTGCCATCACATCCTATTCCTCCTCGCCTCCAGCAATACTGCATAGCTGCGATGGGTTCGCTACCTAAATTAGATTGCTGATTGCTATTTGTAACAATTCGGTGCCGACCGCTGTTGGCGTGTCGTGCAGGTAACGAGCGAGCGAACGAACGAACCAACGACAGACAAGACAAAGACGACGCCGTCTCGTACCAAAATCGTCACAAAAGCAAGCCAAGTTAATCCAGATTGGGACATCAGTCAATTCTCCCTTCCTCTTCCGATTCCTTTTTCTCATCCTCCTCTCGTCACAAAAGAGCAACACGAGGTCTTCGCTGTTTCATTGGGATGCTGTGCCAGTCAACCCGAAACAAGGCACAGCCACCGCAACTGCCCTAATGCAGGTACGGTCAAGCTCGCCACCGTGACATGATGCAACGAATTCAAGACTGCGGGGTCCGTTCTGTCCGTCAACCTACACTACATCGACTCGCCAAGCGCTTTACGTAGTACTTACTCTAGTAGTAGTGTAAGATCTCGTCGTAGTATTATCCTTTCCCGTCTTCGCGCTGTTCTTGTTAGTCCACACGTCCCGGGTGCGATCAGGCTTTCGAGGTCGTGACCCGTGTTTATCCTGGTCACATCTCGTTGGATCCCTCCGGTGAGAACGGTGACGGTGGCGGCGACGGAACAAACTGCGGCACAACAATCACACCAATCCTAGAGGAGCTTGACAACTTCGGGTAATCCAGTGCTCAAGGTCAAGCTTTTGCGAGCCCTCTGCACTCTCAATCTGTCTCGATCTGGCATCCACGATTCACAAAGGACCGACACCATGTCCCAGTTTAGTGCCGCTGGCCTGAACGTGGCGTTGAGATTCTTTACTCTACCTCAATACATAAATAACTAAAGACATCCTAGGTATAACTAACACGGATAGTGTGTTCTACATCATACACTCTACATTAATTACGGACTGTAGAAATTATGCGCATATGTACTCTGAAATTGTCTACTATGTACACCAACCTCAGGACAGCTGCCCCTAAACATTTTCATAGTGTTAGCTATCTTCATTGCAGGTATACAATCAACCGAATTATCATCATGAGATCCATCATCATCATATGACCATAACCTTCTACTCAGTGATCGTAGCACTAAGCGATGAGATAACATGTTAGTATTCAGATATAAGTAGCTATTACCTTATTTGGAGATCTGATGCAGGGATAGGAGACTGGGGCACCCGCATCCCTCGCCAGCTTTGGCAACTCGGGCTCTTTCAGGCATCTTTGCACCGAATCAGTTGGTGAACGCAACTACGTGGTGGTGTATACTAGGTATCTAGACCAGTTCAGAAGGTTACTAGTAAGTCTCAAGCCGACTCTTGTTTCATCTCTCGGCCATTGGGAAGCCTTTGACGTAGCCCAGCCTTGAAACTACGTTTCACAAAATTTTGCATACGGTTCGATAACTCTCGTGAATTGTCTACAAAGATAGTGAACGATGTTGCCGTTACAGGTATAGAAATTTCAGCTCGTTCTTCATCAGATAGGAGAACCCAGTGCACCTAGTAAAGTTGATTCAAGATACCTAATGGTGAATACTTTGCTAGGAGACCATACCAGGTCAACCTCACCCTTGTTCAAATGATGTGTTGGACCAGGATACTAACCAACTAAGTATATTACCTAAGCATCTTTCCCATACTACCGCTCAGGGGAAATCCGCGCAGTACCTGAGACCTACCCTTGCAACTTTCGGGAAATGTAACCTTAGAGCCAGGAGAACCTCCACTACTTTTATGATGCTTGTATAATAGTGTAGTGTTATTATGCCTTTCTATACGTATACTTGCACTGCCTACCTATACTACTGTGCACATCACTGGCCACGTCAACAAATAGGTAACTTTTAATTGAGTTAATCAATCACTTCGAGATTGAGATATCTCATGAGAGTGATAAAAGACTTTCTAGTATGAATAGCCATTTCTTCTCCAATACATTTCCACCGCGTACATGTCTACCATTCCAGAACTAGCAGAATGGTAGCCCTAGGTCCAAGGCTGTTGAGCACATCTCCAGTTTGCACATGCCGATATACTTATCATTGCCTCTTTCCTTCAGTACAATCTGGTCATCATACTTAGTGTAGTTCTCCATAGCGGTCTAGAAGATTCGGCTGAACTTGCCTCTACCGTGGTATTATAGTAGGCAGCACAGTTCACACAATCTAAACCACGTTTCCCTTATTTGTAGTGACAGTCACCGTACTGTACTTAAGAACTCACTAATATCAACATGTGTTGTGCGTGCACTATAACATCCCTTCCGATAATGAAGAGACTTACAGTAGCTCTCAAGCAGTCAGGGAGAAGCTGGTCTCTTGGGGCAAAGAAAGCAGAGTATTTCACACCTACGAGGCTCGACTTGCACTACTATGAGCTAGAACAAAAGCACTGACTCTGTTTCCCTGAGATCCGACTTACCCTTGAGCCCTTACAATTTCGGCTAGTGTGCTACCCTTATTCAAGCTAAAGGCTATAGTACTTCATCCCTGGCGTATATCATACCAAATCCCCGTTCTCTTCTGAATCCCTTCTTACCCGGTCGACACGGCACGGTATACGCCATATACCCCGGGAAACGGAGCCTCTCTCGCTGCAGTATGCACGCACGTACACTCCTAGTATGCTCTACGTAACAAATCCGACGCTTAACCCCTCTTGGCGCTGCCACCTCGCCAAAGACCTCCGTCGAATGATGTCAAAAACTCTAGCAAAACATGGAACTTTCCTCTTCCTGCGAAGCGAGAAAACTAACGAGGCCGTTTAATTAAATTCCTCGTATTTTCACCCTTAGAGAAAAGGAGAGGATATCAGTGCGATGCCATCACTTCATTACAGAGTTAGGTAGGTCAATTAGGAGTTGATTCAGGACGTCAGAGATAAGCTACACGTAAGCTACACTATAATCCCGATAGAATACCGTCTCCTTTGCCGATTGCCGTATCGCACTTCTTTTCTTTGCCTGAAACCTCCTGAGTCCTCGAAGCGATTTTTCAGAGGGTAACGGAGCGTGAGAACATTTCTGTGACTCGTTTCTCGTTCAGACCAGTATGAGATGTCGGATGATAGATTTGCAGTAAATGTAAGTAAAGGAAAAACAGAGACAACAGAAACAAGAGCTCCAAGGTCCAGGCCATCTCTAACCTACCTACACCAATGAGCTCTTCCAGATCAATTGCCCGTTTTGGCTGTCAAAAAAAAGTTTAGCCCTGTTGATCCGGCTCACTTTATTCGCGCATCACGTTTTCGTATCCGCGCATCACCCTAAACCCAAAATAGTATTTGCTGGGGCGGTTACGTACACCTACAATCTTTATCCACCAACAACACTTCAACAACTTCAGTCATCAACAACACCACGCGCTTCATCTCGCAATTCTGCATCGATTGCACCTTTTTTTTTCGACCTAAAATACGTATTTGCTGATTTTTGACAATATGCCGTTAGTACCACCTACCGATGCCCAATTTCCCACCCTCGCCGAAGGCTTCGAAGCCTGGCAGGCACATGCACTCCGCGAGGGCTTCGCAATTACGAAGTGCAACGCCTCCAACAAGATCGATGGCCAATATACACGATATACGATAAAGTGTACCGCTGCTACCGCTGATCACAAGTCTATTGCCACGCAAAGGAAGGCTTCAAGCGCCAGAGTTGGTTGCCAATTCAAAGGCGTGGCAAAGCTTTATAAATACCAAGATAGTTGGACCTTTACCGTTAACTATCCTCACCATAACCACCTTCCCTCTTTATCTACACCTATTCACCGCCAAAAACAGATGACCGAACAAGTCCGTAGGATTATTCAGACTGGGTTCGATAATCTAATCCCTTGCCGCAAGATATATAAGCTTGTATTAGCTTTGGATCCTGATACTACTATTACGAAGAATGACGTTAGTAACGTTATTTCCAAGATTCGGCTTCGAAAACGAGGTCTTCATACAGACCTTACAGCAAAATAACGGATAGCTTCACAATAGCCAGTTCAGAGTCTCCAGGCGTGGCAGGCATCGTACGCACCGGAAGGGCCAAGGGGGGCGTTATATTTGACTTCAAGAATCGGTCAAATAGGTGGCAAAAGGGGTGGTTTCATGTCAAGATCAACAGACAAGTACCTTTTTCAAGGCGGATTGAAAAACAGGTCACTAGGCAAGTCCTAGGGCGAGCGTTTTTGCTAGTAAATACAATGGCAATTTGCTATTTGCAAGAGTTCTGAACGCGTGAGATTCGCTAACTTGGCTGTTTTTTAATGGGTGTACTTAGTGACTGATCTGGGCAAAAAAGACTGTTTCTACTACATATAATCGCTGTCCAGGGTCTGTCTGCAATTATCCTCTTTTGGGTGGGAAAACAGGGGGGTTGCAGACAGAGACCCGACAATTGCTATGTTAGGTTGAGGGTGATGCGTGGATACAAAAACGTAATGCGCGAATACTTCGTAAGTGAGCCGCTGTTGATCCCCCAGCGGGAGGGATGGATGAACACCAGACAGAAACCAGGGAGCTCGAGTCCACTTTATGAATCTTGGAGAGAGAAGAAGAAACACGTGCGACACTAGGATGTGTTGGACGAAAGGAGTTGACTCACCCGACGATCTTTGTACAGTAGTTGCTCAATCGCACAACGAGTTCTACTAAATTACCGTACCTAGTAACTCTCCCTCTCTCATCTCTACACGAACAATGACAACATCCATCAACCCAGGTCGTCATCGCCCATCGAAAAGAAGACAAGGGAGATACGAGAAGAAACAAGTAGCCGACCGATCTCAGCCTCCCCGCATTGAAACAACCTCCGTTCATATCCTTCGTGTAGGCAGATATATACCTATCTCATGCTCCCTCACGAAGTCCTTGTGACACAATCATACAGTACCAGGTAGTAAACCCAGCGCAAGCAGGCAGTGCAAACCAACGTTAAAGACAGCATTACAACCATTTGCCACAGCAATATCCCAACAGGGGCAAGCCAGCCAGATCAGCAAAGTATGCGTAATGACTAATTTGCAGCGTTCTACTTCCCTAAACCATATCTGACGTAAAAACTTCCTTCTACTGAAGACGATAGGCACCTGATGACCTAAACACCACTGACAATTCAACAAGTCGAAATGGGAAGAAAAGGTGTAAAAGGAAATACATTACTGTCCGAAATAAGCGCCGTACCAAACTTCCTACTTAGAGTATGCTAGCCAGACCGGCGATCCGTGGGGGAGAATGGGGGGGGGGGGGGGGGGGGGGGGGGGCTGGGGGTCGGAAAACAGCGCTGGATAACTGCGTCGAGATCGGAACCGGAATAGTCACGCGCTCTAGAGCGCAAG